AGATTAAAAAAAATTCTCTTACTATATTTATAAAAAAAAAATCAGGGGTCAATACAGACCCCATTGAGCTGCAGCTGTAAAGAGTGCACATTGACATTCATTTTTCTTCTAATTCTACAGATGCAAATTAGCTGAAGGAAGGAACTTAGCTTGCTCTATCTTTGAAGTAGTGAGCCCAGAAAAGGAATACATTTTGGTATTAAAGATCTATTTCTATTATACTATATGAATATAAAATATGAATGATTGTTTGCTTCTCTTCTCAAGAATGCCATTCCCGATCTAGCCTTGATCAAAATGATAGAAAAACAGAATGAAAATACAGTGCAATAAAACACACCATGAGTATTCAAGCCAGTGCACATTTAAAACAACCTCAAAAAAAATCAGGTCAAAATTCACCTGGAATATTCCTCACTGTTGCCTCGAATAGGAAGGATCTCTCCACTAATTTACACACTAAAAATAAGTTAAATTCCAAGTACACTCAAGGAAAGTTTAAAGTATTTGGAGGTGTATTGTAAATAAAGCTCTAATTATGGACCACAGAATTCAGTATGAATTTTTATTGAGCTTTCATACACTCTATGGAAATCTTTTGTAGTGCTCTGAATAAAGAAGCATTCCTTAGCAACTTTCACTCTCAGCTTTGAATTACTCGCCGTGATCTTTTTCTCATCAAATCGAGTTCATTTTGCAGCCATCAAATTTTATTTTTTAAATAAAAATTCCTTTATTGACCAGACAACCAGTATTTGCTTGGAAATATCTGAATGCAGTATGTGCTGTTTAACACTTTGTTACGTATATATGTACATATACATGCAGAAAAGCAATGGCAAATTACAGCTGTTGATATGGCACATATAAACCCCAAAATGCACATCTAAAGATCTGTACCCACATAAATATACTTGTGCATACTAAAATGTGCACACCACATATGCATATGAATAAACATCTCAAACACATACATTACTTTAGCTGTGCATAAACCATATCATCCTAATAGTATCCAAAAAAAGCTTAAAGACTGGTGTAAAAATCATCAGTGGAAAAAAAATCCATTTCTCTTCATTGCAAATGTTTGTTAAATGTAAATGCTGATATTCTACTCCTTGGAAGAACATTTGTCTGCATGTGGAATTTCATGATAAAAGGCTTTAGAGTCCCAGGTTTCTCTAGATAAACCCCGCTGGTTTACTGATGCATGAATGCACTGAAATTGAATTACTGTACAACAGCAATTACTTTTCACAGTACAGTTATAATGAGAATCAGCTTCACAATGAACACCAGGTAGCTATAGTAGGAAAAGTTAATAAAAAGAAGCCTCTTATTTGCATTTTTCACTGCAGCAAGTGTAGTTGCCTTAAAGAAAAACCATCCTTAACACTTGAATTGCCATCATAGCAGTGAATGAACAATCATTTTTATAGCACCTCTCTATTCGCAAGGAAATATTAATGAACATCAAAATTTTAGTGCAAAGCTAAGATTTTTATAATAGCTTTTCAAATATTCCCTAATAACTTGGTTATCTTTCATTTTGCTATATTTTTCTCTTTCATCTAGCCTTCAATTTTTTCCCAATATGCCAATAACTAGGAAAAGTAAAAGCACTAAAATGAACAATTTTAACTCCACCTGTATTTCACTATCCAGTTTGTTGTCATGGTCATTTGTTATTGAGCATTACATCACAGTGCTTTGTTCCCATTCAGTTCCAAATAAGTAAAGTCACTGAAGTATCATAAAATCTTTTAACAGTTCTATTCAAAAAAAATCACAGGTAACTTTAAGACTGATGAAGCAAACTTCCTATGAGTGAAATAACGAAAAGTCCTGGAAAATCACCAACACCTCAAGTGACAGCAGAATACACAAAGGTCTCAAAGGGATTATTTGTGTTTGGCTGTAAAACTAAAATAACTGCTGTACTATGCAGGAAACCCTTCTGTGTCTATCACCTTATGGGGAGTAAGATTTTTCCCATCTCGAGCATTGTAATATTAAAATTAACTGGATCCATTTACCTTTGTCACAGATAGAAATGAAGCACCAGCAGCATTGAATCAAAACCACAGCTCAGGGATTTTAACTTAATTCATGTTACAAATACTTGAAAATAAAATACAAAACAGCCTGCCTGAAATTCAGTCAGGCAGAGCAGCATTAGGAAGGAAATGGTTAACAGGAATATCCTGAACTGATATAAACCCAAGGTAAATAGTGAACACTGGGGAGAAGGCGGGGGGAGAAATGTTACTTGCAAGGTTTTCCATCAGTAAGTAGATGACAAAAGGTTATATAATTGGTTTAATACTTTCAGTTTTCCATTTATCTTATGTATCTGACAGAACAAAAATAGGACAATCTGTGATAGGATAATTGCATACTGAAGGGTAATTCAAACAGGGAATGAATATGATAAAAATCACACTGAACCAACTAATCACTAAGAAAAGCAATGAGACAGAAAGATAAAAAATCATCCAGAATATTAAGGGGGAGAAGGGAGAAGAGTTCACATGTGATTAGTAGCTTCAAATAAGTTCATATGTTTGAAAGCATCAAGCAGAACTATAAAAAAAACCTCCACAAAAACTCATTCTTCTTGGCCTTTTCTACAAATCAAACACTTTATGTACTATGAATTTTTGAACATTTTTCAGAGTGCTACATCTGCTAATACCTGAAGAAGTATGTTTAGCCCAAAATGCTTTTGGATAAAACATTTTAGTCAACAATGGATTTTGATGTGTACTTGAAGCAAATTTGCTCAGTGGTGTAGGGTAACAATTTGGGCTAATATTGGAACACATTTTCTGAGTCCTTGGACTTGCAGCCTCACGATCATGTCCCCATTATTTCTAAGGCTGAGGGATATTTTGTATGGTATTATTCATTTAGCACTTCCTTCAACATCACCACCAATATACCTGACATATTACTCTGAATTCTACATTTCAGTGCTCTTGCACAAGTTTCCATCAAAAGCTTATGTCAAAATTCAAGTGCTTTAGAGCCAAGATGATCCAGTACCAGGATGGAATAGAGCTCTTAAGTGTAGAGGAGTTTTCTAATTCCCATCTCACCTCCCCAGATACAAGGGGAAAATTAGTTGTGATGAACCAAGGACAAAATTTATGCAAAACCTGCATTGTACCAAAGGATTTTGTACTTCTTAGGATGAAAATTGCCAAGCACTATTTACTACCAGAACAGAATGGGTCACTCTTTACATCTCTAGCATCAAGAAGGACCAATTTATATAATTATGCAAAAATTAAGAGCTAAATTGGAAAGTATACTAAACAGATCATTTTTTAAAAGAAGTGACCCTGTTCAAACCACATTTTTAGATTCCTTTCCAAAGATGGAAACCTTCCAAAAAGGCTCTGGATTTCAGTCACTTTTTCCAGCACTAAAATCCATTCACCCAAGATTACACGCATGGTTTGACTTCACGGAATTTGGGCTTGTTTTTACTCAGAGCATGGTGGTCTATATTGACCCCGTATATTTTTTTCCCTCTTTAGATAAAAACACCATCTGTATGAAGAGACCAAACCTGTTCTAAACATTTGTTACGAAGCTCTAATTGAGACACAAACTGCTCTTCCTTACCAGCACTCCTCCCTATGGAATTCTATTCCCTCACCAGCCAAGCGCGCAGCTCGCTGGTCACTTCTCGCTCTAAACAAGTGCTGCTCCAAGAATGCTCTGTTCACATTATGATCTCGGGGGAGCAGTTTTCTCTGCAAAGAAACAAGAAAAAGGGTCCTCCCCCTTCCCCAAGTCAATATTCTTCAGGCTTCTGGAAGCTGTTGCACACATATTAAAGTGTAGTTTTTCCTCTGAAAAACACATTGTAAAAATAGCGTTGCGGGGTTCCATGTTTATTGTCTTTCTCTGCTTCCCTGCCAAGTGAGCTCAGTTTTACAAGCTGAAATATGTTTTACTTCACTGCCAGCCCTGAAAATTCAACCTCTTAAATGTAGCCAAATTCCTTCCTCCCTTCTGCACCATAACAAATAATACCCGGCTGAGGGTGGAATTGTATCCTCAGTCCCACAAAAGGAATCCCTGTCCCTGGGTGATACCTCCAGCCCTGCAGTGCAGCCAGGAGCATCCTCAGCTCAACTGAGCAGCTAAGTCTGGCTGAAATAGAGCAGCTGATGGTAAACAGCATCACCATAATGTCCCGTGAGTTTCCTGATGGGGTGATGCCACAGGAGCTAATATTCCAGGCAGTCAGCTCAATTTCTAGCAAAGAATAATGCAAAAGGAAACCTACAACAAGATGATTTTTGTTTTTTACTCTTTAGACCACACACATTACAATAAACTCCTATTTGATATAATAAAACATAAAAATCTGAACTTTTATTTTTATTTTCTAGTAAGTCTAATAGACACCAAAGATATTACAAAAGGATCAGAATCGAGATAGAAAAATACAACAAAAAAAAGAAAAAAGCACAAAAATTTATAGATATACAGAGAATAGTCTAGTTATTCAGTGATCATTAATATGCTTCCTGAAGAGTGATGTAGTACTTACCACAATTAAACTGTTTACAATTTGAAGTGTTTGCATCTTTTTCTGAACTAAAGAACAGTTATTGAACTCAGATATGTTCCTGCAATACTATTTTTATAATAGTGAGCACTGATACTAAGTCTGCTTTGGTTGGATAGGTTAAAATCTAACATTTTAACCACATGCACTTAGGTTTTACTGCACACAAGTGATATTTTACAATTCATATTGGAAATTGGTAGTCCCAATCTCATTGCACACTCTTACATTTATCTATTGATGGCATGAGTAATTTAAATATATTCTCTTGAACACTGATCCTAAAATACTTCTGAAAGCTTTAGCATTTCCACTTCAGCACCTTCAATTGCTAGTACAGCCTTCAGAGCAGAGCCTAAACTATATATTTAGTTTTACATCATAGAAGGAAATAGCAGATTGATTTGCTGCTTACCCGTACGGCTTCAGATTTCTTATGAAACATTTCTTCCATATTCTTTGCTAACTTTTTCACAAGCTGAAGGCCATCAATTTCTTCTATTGCAACATCCTTCTCATATTCTTTGTATTTCTAAAAGAAGAAAAGAAAAATAGGGAAAAGTTACTCACAGGAAACCAGCTGAAATTTTGACAACTAATTATTCGTTTTATATTACACTTTTGCTGACATTCTTCATTTATCTGATGTTTATTTGCATGACAGCAGGCTGCTTTGTGCCAAGATGCTGTCATGGGGAGAGAACAACTGGATTAGAACCAGAAGTCCATTTAAAAAATAATAAAAATATTTATCTCGTGCACTGTAGGAAAACGATAACTCTCCTTCACAACGTTTAAATTACTCTTCCCCACAACTAAACCAGAGCCAAAAGAAAAGTAACAAAAAATCCTTGTATCGCCTCCAAAAATCATGTAAAAACAGTGATATGATTGGCAATCCCTATGGCTTAGCAACCTAGAATCCTCCTGAGCTGAACCTCCTGTAGATGCCTGTTTCACAAGCTTTATACAACACTTACATTAGGAGTACTCACACTGCAAGCTTATCTAGACATGCAAAGAAAAGCCTAAACAAAGCACATCAACTTGAGCCTTCATCCAAACACAAGCACCAAAGCATCCTTTATCCAACATGATGAGCGTTACCACGTTTCACAATGTGAATAACTCTCAGAATACCTAAGCACTAAAAATATATTCAAAACAAGTTTTATCCTCTATTTTCTGCATGCCAATCCTTTTTTGTCCTCATCAGTGTTTATAAGGAAGCTTTGTAAGAATTAATTATCAAAATTAATTTAAGGCTGAGAACATTCTTCTTCCCCACATTATTCCACTGCAGCCTGTACTGTAAGAACTTCTGGCTTCCACTCTGGCCATTGTTTGTCTCTCTCTCTCTCAAACACACCCAGCTGTGTTGAACTGATCAGTGCCCATCAGCAAACCCTTCACCTGACCATAAACTGCACCTCCATGACACAGGAGGGAGAAGGGAGGCACACCAGCCCCCTGCCCATTAGCCCTGTGTGCCAAAAATATCTCCCCAGCCTCTGCAGCAGACTCCTGGGACAACCCACAGTGTTCAAGTGAATAAAATCAAATGGTGTAATTTTAAAAAATTATCATTAAAATTTGCCTGCAGAATGATGATTCTTATAGAACTCCAGAGAGACAATGGAGAACAAGGTGAGCAAAAACAGTGGTTCAAAGCACCGGGATGAATAATAAAATGTTCAAAACAGTGAATAAACCAGGACCAGTTATGTGCTGGCTGGTGATGCAAGAAAGGACTTTTTTGTTAAGAGAATGCCTGTACATGTTGTACCCATTTCCCCCAACAAAACTAATTTTGAAGATAAACTGACACTTTGTACTTCCTTTAAACTTTACACTTCTCCGTAAAAACTTGTGTGAATGTTTTGATAATGAAAAAATATTTAATAAAACATAATTTGCAGACAATTTTGGAACAAAGTTAAAAATACAAAGCTTCAGTAAATATTATGGGCAATTTTTTAATATATGTAATTTCAGCAATAATTTCATTTTTCCACATTTTTACCTGCCATTAATCTCTAGTTTGAGACCTTAATAGCAATCTAGCAACCTAAGAAACCTCAAACACACTCCTTGCATTTTACTCCCTCAAGGCAGGCAGGGAGATTTGGGTTTTTCTCCTCTTTGATCTGCACTTAGATAAAATCAACAGAGTTCTGATTTCAATTCTTGAAGTCCATTTATGCCATTACTAGAGATAAAAGGGATTTTTCTAAAATAGAAAAATACACTTTTTTTTATTCACTGGAGAAAATATCAGAACAGAGTAGACAAGAGAGGCAAATGCAATTGTAACAAACACCATGATAAAATGCAGTAAATGATCAGTAAACTGAAAACACTGCCAGTTAATTAATGATGTCAATGACTGTCCACATCCCACAGGATTTGAAGCTCTGGAGAATTTAAAACAAATCAAGTACAAATTTGAATCACTTATTTCCAGCTGCAGAGATCATGTTCAACATATCACCTCCTGATAAAAATGTTTCCTTTAAACTTGACCTTTGAGTTTTTAGAAAGTGTTCTAAAATGCAGCACTTGAAGAGACAGCTTTCAGGTTATCAGATTTATTGATTTAAGCTTTGCCATTGAGTGAAGAAAGCCAGGCAATTATTCACTGCATTTGCCTGAAAACTGAATGGAGCTGTTGAAATCCACAACATTTTCTAGGCACACAGAACCCTACCACATGGTCTATTAGGCTCTTGTGAAAGCACATTAAAAAGCCACACTTCTGAATGGTGAGTAACTGGTGCTTTTGAAAACTAAAAATAACTTGCACTCAAAAGAGATGTGAATGATTTCTTAACTGATAATTTATAATCTTATAATTATGCCAGTTCATAGTAAATAAATGCATTTTTTCATAATTCAAATGCCCAAGTTCCAACACAAAAGAATAAATGGGAAGAAACAGAAGATATTATTTCAGATCTATGTGAAAAGACCCCACATTTTGCATAGTGTGCAACTCTACTCAGTTGCTGGAAACCTTCAAGAACATTTGCAACAAAACTAGGAGAGCTTACGTGGTCTGCAAGACCCTGGCAACCAAAAGGTTTATGTATTACATATTTTATATTTGAAATTCCACTGCCATTAAAAAAGAAGAACTTCTATCATTTTCTCAGCCATCATCAGAATGTTTCAAAACAGGAAAATTATGTGGTTGGAAAAAACTTCCAGCTGTTTTTCTCTCCTGCTGCCTGGAGAGGAGAGGTGCCAGCCTGACCTGGGTGCATCTGTGCCCTCGGCGCTCACTCTGCAGGATGCTGGGGTTTATATTCCACGTACAAAGAACCTGATTTTATAGCAACTCTCAATACAAGAAACCTGAACCACAGGATAGTGAAAAAAACAAAACAAAACCAAAATAAAACCACAACAAAGGCCGTCATTAATACTGCATTCCCTTTCTTTCACTGCAGAGATTTCTGACCTCCAGGCCCTCATCCCTTCCTCACCACTATATTTTTACATATTAAAATTTAGTTTAAGTTTCAATAAATTAAAACAGCAATTACATAGTCTGAATTACAGTTGAAAATTTAAAAAAATTAAATTATTATATTTTGATATCATCTTGAGAAAGCAGCGTGGCACTATTGTTCCAGTTAAGCAAAACGAGTAGCAGAAAAAACCAAGCTTTTGGGCCAGGCTGGCCTTTATACTCCAGACTTGCAAACTACCTTGTTGCACTGCTGTTATGAAGGTGCTCATACAAGCAGTGCCTTAAATTACCATTTCCCTTCTCTGTAAAAATAATGAAGCTGATGAGAAAGTTATTTTGTTTTATTAAAAAAAAAATTCAACCCTTAGGCTTTTTCAATCTTCCCTAATTTTACTTCATTGAGAGATACTGACAATTCTCATAATTTGTAACATAGGCAATAATACATGTGTATCGTTATTTTAAAAAAGAGAAAACAGCTCTAACTTTGCTATAAACAATTGACTTGCTAAAAAAGTGCATGAAATATTAGAGGCATAGTTGGAAATTTCTTCTGATAAATGAATTTCCAATTGCCTAGAAGATGAAGCAGGTACAACTTCTAATTTGCTGCATGATAAAAAAAATACTTGAAATGCTGATTCTGTCAGCTTGCAAAAATCAGCATTTGGTAAGAAATTCTCTAGAGAGACAAGAACATTTATCATTTGAGAAAGCCCACAAAAAATACATTATTTCTTCAGTATCTGTTTTACCAGATCATTTCACATAAGCACCGGGGAAAGACAGACAGTATTTCACTGTCAGAACCCTTAATGCTTTTATGTTTTTCATGGTTTAGGTGTGGGGGGTATTTTTTCTTGGTAAATTATCATCTAGAAATAACAAACCAAAAAAGCTATCTGTACAAAACTCAGATCAGAAGTGTTTAATGCAATCTAAATACTTGGCACTGAAAGAACAACACAAACACACAAAAACCAAGAACAAAAAAAATAGCAAAGAATCCCCCCAAACAAGCAAAACCAAAGCAAAGTTAAACCACAGCAAAACCCACAGAGTTTGAGTGACCAAGGCAGGAAAAGAAGTCCACTCCTGAAGCAAGACTATTGGCTACAGCACAATTTTTCCCCCATTTCTTTTTATTCTAAAGAGAAACATGCTCTTTGTGCTCCTATTTGTATCTAATTCTATCAAGTCTTATCAAAATCAAGATATTCACCTTTGTGCTGCAAACAAAAATATTTCAAGTTACTTACATGTGTGTACACCATCCTTAGTCTCACTCTTTCAAAAGGGCTCTGGTTGCTTTGTACATCTGCAGAACACTACCCATTTATGATGAAAATTCTTCCCACTCCCTGGGATTTTCAGAGCCAGTAAATACCACTACCATCCTGATTAAAGAAAGGAATTCGACAGGAATCTTGCAATAATACTTTAAAAGTCATCTCTCTGTGTTGCCCATTTGGAGCTGTTAGCTGCCTCTGAGGTGCATTTGTAACTCTACTGCACACACTTCACAAATGTTGCTGGTTGAGAGATTTTGTCACAGGCATGTTAAAACTATATGTGCATATATACATTTTATGTTTTATAATGAAAAAGCAGAAACAGCACGCAAATGGCAGATCAAATATCCAATCTATCCATTGTTTCCATGAAAAAATTAAGTGTGTGTTTACTCCACGCCATTTTCAAAAAACCACTTTCAGATGTTCAAGCCTCAACATTGCGAATGTAAAGAGAGATTGCAGAAACATACACTTTTGATTAAATCACCAACTTTTGATTTCAATTAATATCTCTGGCCCAGCAGAAAGGCTGTGCTATGCAGTGCTTGAGCTGTTTAGATTTGCTCCACTCCCTCTGCCATGCAAGCCCTGACTCCCTTCAGAGCCAGTGCTGGACTGAAGGACCACGGGAGTTCATAAACTTATTAGAATTATTTTGATTCTATATTTGAGATATCCCAACAATCAGATGTAATTAATGAGACTGAAAGGCTGCAAAAAGCTTGCAGCTGATCGATTTGCAGCTGTTCAAGTGGTTTCTTTAGT